ATATCAATAACGACGAGATGCATAGCAGCGAACGCGCGGCCGCGCCAAGTGCCGCTTTCGGGGTCTGCTTGATGCGAATGTCAAAGTCCGGCAGGCATCTACACAGCTGTTCGTTCCCCGCACAGACCTGGGACTAGAAGTTTTGACGAGTTGGGTAAACACATGGGCAAACACATCAGGAATGAGCAACGCGCTGTGTCGGGTACAGGTTCTGGGAATATTAAGGGTATGGGGGATAAATGTGGATAAAACGCCATAGACAAGACAGCAGTAGCAGCTTTATTCATCGTAGAAAAGCCAGGAGGATGAAGAGGTGGCCGAGCTCATATTTCCGCAATATGTTTAAATATTGAAACTATTATCAGTGGGAAATCCAGAATTGCCTACCAGCCCTACTCGCTTTTTAAACAGCGAGCTACAGTTTTTTTTAGGCCGCCAACATTCAGGGTATTAAATGAGGAGCAATTGCCAGTCATTACTACGATATATGGAATATCTAACTATCTAACTAAGTATTAGAACACGCGAAAAATACGTCTACATGCAGACGAATTCAAGTGAATAGGCATCACGCATCACGCTTCATTCAAACATACAGGCGATTTCAAGTAAACAGGCATCACGCATCACGCATCAGTAACAGATGCAAGCGTCTTCAAGTGAACAGGCACCGTGCATCGCACTTCAGGCATCACTCATACATTTAAACCATTTTATGCCAGCGCTCATCATAATGTAATAATGCAAGTGTGATAAGTGCCTTGACGATGATGCGCGCTAGCTTAAATTGGTTCGTATATGTCAGTGATGACTGACACGTGATGCGCGATGCCTGTTTAATTGGAATCGCTGGCATGTTTAATTGATGCGTGATGCCTGTTAACTTGAAATTTCTTGCATGTTTGAATGAAGCGTGATGCGTGATGCCTGATCACTTGAATTCGTCTGCATGTACACGTATTTTTCGCGCATTCTACTTCTTAGTTAGAAATGCCATGTATCGTAGTAATGGCTGGCAGTTGCTCCTTGCTTAATCTCTTGAATTTTGGTGATCTGTAAAAACTGCGGCTCGCTGTTTCAAAACTTTTTTTAAAAAAGCCTGCAGATCTTCGTGGACGTGTGACTCAGAAAATAGAGGGGTTTAGATCTGAAGAAAGGCTGGGCTGTGAACTGCACAGAATGAGCCTCAAGATGGCTATTTTAGTTCAAAACCCCATACAAATGTGAAACACTCCCTTGCTATGCGCGGTCTGCAGCATCGTCGGTTGCCGCCCGCCGACCGCGCCAAGCCATAGACCGCCGTGCCAGTGTTTCTTAAAAAGACCGCCGCTGCTCAGAAACCAGAAATTTTATACACATATTCTTGGTACCAAAACACGCGTAATGATTCTCCATTGGATACTGGAAATTTCGGTGTGATTTCACAGCATGCCGGAGAGGTGTCCGTAACAAACTTTGGGAGGTTGCATCGAACCTCTCATCAGGGCAAGGGTTAGGCCACCTATGTCCTGGTTAATGGTAACAGCTAAAAGAGCGTAAGTGATGAACGTGATAAGCGAATTCTGTCCCTCCCCATGTAAAGACTTGGATAAACAAGCCGCATCAGGATGACACGCAAGTGTTAGCGCAGAGAGCTGTGTTTGCTCAAATGGCGTGACGTTGCTCTCTTCCCCGTTCAGGATCGAATCCAAGGAAGAAAAAAACATGGTGCCACGAACACCTCTTGCGGCAAAACCATTCACGCACTTTCACGTTTTCTCTGTGGGTTTCTCGGGCTTGCTATGTAATGCTCGTGACGTATGCAACACGTTTATGAACGTGCAGTACAGATATCTGTGTTTAGCTCGTTAAGTTCGCTGTACTACGCTGTCCGGAAGTTCAAAAATCACGAAAACAACCCTGATCCATAATAAATAGGGAGATAAAAGTTTGCCTTCCCGCAGAGAAGAAATAAAGTAAAAAAACATGTTTTTTATTTTCTATTGTTTACAGATTTTCTGGATGACCTTGATCACTGACTCCGCTGAAAGATGGTACCTAACACTTTGTAGAATTGTATATGTCTTATGAACATGTATTTACTTGGGTTAGTCACACTTCCATTAGTCAGACCTGGCCCACCGCTGCTTTTGAATTGTTTCCCTGAGTACAGGTCAGTAACAGCATAATTAATTCAAAGCCTCTTACACGGATAAAACTTAAAGGCAAATAACAGGGACTCATATTAACGTACGTTTTGAGAGCGTTTCCCTCCCTTTAGGCAAAGTTGGCGGGACTCACCACCTGTCAGTCTATGCGGCACACTTGCAAATGGGCAATAAAACGAGTTATGTTTAACGTCACTCCAGGCACTTTGCTGCAACTGCAGCACCCACCAGTCTAATGCCACGATTGCCATGCAAGAGCAAAAGCGGACACGTCCCATTACAACCGAAAGGATGCGGGCTGAAGTTTACCGTTACCGACACCCTACAATTAAAGACACTGCGTAGCGAAGAGCAAAATTGCCCCCTTCAAGTAAGGAGCAATCACTAGCAAGACTATGCCACCCATACATGAGCTCTCACAGACCCACAACGTCACTTGGTGCCGTACTGTGCGCAGGCACCTGGTCCACCGTCGACGGCACACCGCCCACCCGCGTCCGGCTCGCGCGGACGGGCGCACCCTCAGCTCCACCCGCGGCGCGCGCCTGCGACACCCAGTCGACAAACCTTGTGCTTCTTCCACGGCATCAGCTTGTGCAGTCGGCTCCGCTTCTGCTCACCGACCACATCGCCGTTACTGACGCCGAGGCTCATCGCTGTCAACTGCGCGCGGCGCGCACTCCGCGCAGGTGTGTGTGGGACCTCCGGACAGCTGGGCGCTAAGTGAGCGTCGCGCCGTGTCGTGTCGCCCACCGAGCAGTCGGGCCCTTTGTGGCTCTACGCCGAACCTGCCGGGTCACCGCTGTCGACGCTGCTATCAGCCGAAATTGGCGGCGCGATAGCCCATGTGTGTGACTTGTTTGCGGGGGCGATAACGCCGTGTGACGGGGCGGTGGCCGATGGAGCGGCGACATCCGCCCGCCGGCTGCCGTCGGGGCGCGCCCGCCGGCGTCCGGCGTCGGCTGCAGCGGACAGACGGCACCAACCTGCTCGCCAGAGCGTCACTGGGCGATCATGGGTTGTATGTCGTGACGTGTCAGTGCTACACTGCACGAGACGTGGCAGAACCCGTCGTGCCTTATATTGACATATAGTTCCAGAACAATCCTCCTGTTCAGCATTTACTGGACTTAAAAGGGCGCGTTTACATTGCCGAGATGTCGCCCCTGGAATTGGAATTGAAGCACGTCATGGCCCCAGCTTCAGCAACGGCAGCTCCAGCTCCGGCATGGTTCCAGTTAGCACAGCTCCATGACACCATTTTCTACGGTCTGTCGGATAAACACACTCATTCAGAAAGTCACGTTGAAAAACAGCATGGTGGTGTGATGCCTGTCCAGTGTTGGCCGTTCTAACGCGTTACAAATCGCCGACACACCAAGGCATCAGTGCAGGCATGGGGTTCAGCGAGTGCCCTGTTTCCGCGACAGCTGGACAGTACCCGTTTGACAACGCGTGTAAAGAATCAGCTTCAGAATAGGTTTAGCAGCCTCTCTTTTTTAGATGTTTTTTTACCAATCCACCAAGGGCAGTGGGGTTAACTATTGTGATGCCAGCTTCTTTTCATATTGTGGAGGCACCTTACTTTTTTATGGGCAGGCTGTTGCAGCCATGTAGCCTGCAGTCAAGCAGAGTGGATGATAATGTCCGAACTTATTCTTCGCCTCGCAGGCTGCACTGGGATTTCATCGTATCCTTGAATGGCAATGCGAATAACGAGTTTACAACAGATTCACTAAGCCTCAAACATTAGACCTGACCCCCACACATCGTTTTGACATTCCAAAGCACTAGACTCCCACCGACCGTCATAGATGGCTATCTCCAATACGAGGTCAGTTTATTTATACCAAACCCACTTCGTTGCTTCAATTGCCAACCTTTTGGACGTGGCAGCAAAATCTGCAGACAAAACACAGGCGTCTGAAGTGCGGTCGAACCCCATCGTGATTGGTCGGCATGTACCGCGCAGATTAAGGATGTGAGCTGTGGAAGTTCTGAGCGCATCACATCATTAACCCAATGTCCCGTTTGTAAAAAGTAAAAGGAGGTTTGCGCCATGAAAGCTAAGGCAGGCGTGTCCACCAACAGGCCCACCGAACTGTCACAGCCTCATCGCCCACCTTCACTAGAGAACACACGCTCAGGCGGCTACAGAGATGAGCGTCGACTCTTCCGCACAAACGACTCCCCCTCCCCCCCCCCCCCCCCCCCACCACTGCCGTCTCCGAAATGTTTGACTCCGCGCGACCCTGTTTCGAAGGCGAGTCAGGCGTGCACCTCAGCTGCCTCCCCCAGGAGCCAGCCATCGCCCCTCGCACCGTCACGTGGACACAGTCGTCTGCTAGCAGTCGATGCGCCCTAAAACTCCAAATCATATCATCATCACAGTCGTCTGCCCGGCCGCAACACGACCGGCCTCAGAGCCCTCAGGCGATGGATCGTCCGCGTCCCGGCCCGAGTGGTCGCACACCGAGCATGCCGAGCGGCCGACCTGCCGGCGGTCCAACAAAACGCTCTTCCGGTTCGGTAATAGATAGATCGGAAGAGCTATCCTATCGATGGAGCTGGACATAGATCTCGTCCAGCTGTCCGGGTGAAGAAATAAAATGAAATGGGCACGGTCCATGCCAAACGGCGAAATCCCGCCCGGTGGTGTTGGACGCGTTCCTGAAAGAGAACCAGCACCTCAGGTCACTGGGGCTAGCTAGTCACACTTAATCAGTTATCCATGTCTTTCTTTCTACAGTTGAACTACCAATGATGAGTTAGTAAACGAGTCAAAGCAAGCACGTTTTTTTTTCTTATTTATAGCATCAATCATACGTGCCGTTCAAGAAACATAGCTTCTTACTACTGACCTCCATAACTTAAGCCTCACCAATTATTCGTTATATCGTCGGAATGAAACTGGAGGAGAGCGCCGCCAGGGTGGGGCTGCCCTGTATATTTCCAACCAGTTTGCTTTAAACACACCCTCTGCAAGCCGTTGCCGCTTTACGGCATTTTCATGGCCGTAGCATTGACATATGCTCAATATGCTTACCTTCGGAACTTGATTATCATCTCTCACGTCACCTTATGTATCTTTCTCAACAATTTAGAAATCCATTTCTCCCTCGGCGATTTTGACGGACATAGCCCGGTTGGAGCAATGATGCCCAAACAGCTGGCCTCCGGGGACGAATTATTGAAGACTTCCAAGACGCACACCACTGGGTTCTCCTTAACACAGGCAGCATTATCTATGATCACATGGCAACTGACCAGAAGACCGCAATAGAGCTTTCAGTGTGTTACCCCACCTTCGCTATTTTCTGATTGGTTAATTGATGGAGATGTACGTGAGGGTGATCACTTTCCATTAAAATCTGCACCACATCTGTGACCGCTGATGACGCTGTTCCCCGTTTCATACTCACTTGGAACATACACACGGCTGGCTGAGTCAAATTTAAAGAGCTTCAATCCAGCATCGACACACGATACACCACTCCAGCACCGGGTATCGATCACAAACACCTTCGCACCGCAGTATCAACTGCGATTCACTTACTCAGCAGCCACCACGGCTCATCCCCGTGCCGTGAAGGGCAGACGACATTAAAAAGGCTATTACAAGACGGAAACGTGCCTCCGAAGTCATCAACGAACTTACGGCACTCCTCCTGCGGGCTGTTAAGCCCGCAACAATCAACGCCCAAGAATCAGGAGACTCATAAAGGCTACAAAACGCCGATCCTGGCAAAATTTCCATTGCAGTTCACAGCGGTCACTTCACTAAGCAAAATTCTGGGACTGTTCCGAGTGCTTTCTGGCAAGCGGCTTCCATTTTTACGTCCAGTTTTCAGAATCAACGACTACACCGCCATAGAGCATAAATGGCCTTGCCCAAAGTAAAGCCAACTGTAGTTCATCACACGATTACAAGCTGCAATTCATAGATCATGCATGGCTTAGTTTTCATTTGCCTCGGACCTGTTTCCCTTCAAGCAATACGGAGGCCAACAAGATAACATTTTCCTTGCCAAAAGGTTCATGATGCAATTAAATGCCGTGGTAATGCTTCAGCAGGTCAGGATAACTTAAACTATTCTTTCATCATTTTCCTGACAACATACTTCAAGCCATTTTAAACATCTGCAATGATATGCTGTCTTCCCATGTTTTTTTTTCTTCTAAAGACGTGGAAGGACACAGTAATAACTCCACTTCCAAAACCAGGCAGGGACACTCGTGACCAAGCCAACTATCGTCTCATTGCATTCACCAGCTGCCTTCGAAAACTCCTGAAACGCATGGATGGAAAGCGCCTTTCCTGGTTAATAGATCACGATAAGATGATATCAAACCAACAATGTGGATTAAAACGCAACCGTGCCACTTATGACAATTTAATCCCCTAGAAACAGGCGTTCGTCGTGCAGTTCTTCAAAAACGCCGAGCAGCGGCTGTATTCCTAGACATTACTCGCGCCCACGATCTGACAGTTAAAGAAACATTCACTTTCAGTCGTCATAAGTTAGGGTTTAAGGAAAATTTGGCGCATTATATGGCAGGATTTCTATTGGGAACGTGGCCGTTCCGTGTGGGGTGTCGATCGGCTGCTTGCGATGTTTGTCCTAGAAAACTGGCTTCCGCAGGGTAGCGGTGTTCCTCCTCTGTTTTCAACCTTAAACGGACATTTCCAATATCCTCACTATAAGTAAATGCATACAGTATGCCTCTCGCCCTTCGACGCACTGCATACACCTTGAGGTACATCACAAAGATTCGACAAAATCCAAGCCGTCCAGCAGTTGCCTCGGCACATGCACTGTTCCGAATTCACCGCACATGCGTAGGAGCGCCAGATGTCCCTCGGGCCTCGCGATTGCGTCTCGTGTGGCCTGCCTTCTGTCAAAGCTTAACGCTGCGCCCGAGCGGCCGGTTGGATACCCTTCGCTCGGGTGGGGGAGGGGTCAGTTTGACCCCTTCCCACTGAGATCTCAGTAACTAAGAAAGCTAAAGACACCAAATTCAGAGTGTGTGTTAACCTGTACATGAACTCGCTTAGGTCGAATTTTGAGTTTACTAGGTCATGACCTCCGGGTCAAATGAGGTCAGACACGGCTAAATTCCAGATTGGTTTTCGAAGGGCCCATTGAACCTAGATAATTGTTCTAACCAAAGGGTCGCATGCTCAGTTAAGGTCAGCGACCTTGTTCGACTTTTTGAAGGTTATGGCGACTAAAATTACACAAGACTGTTTTGTGTCGGACTGTAGGCTGTAACTTACAAGCATGCTCAAAAGGATATGAACGCTCTTTTTACATAACGCCCTTGTTATGCTCAAGGCGCGAAGTGGTCCGAAAGAGCCAAAACGCCCCAAATAAAACAAATTTCAAGTCGTAATGTCATCCGACCCCCTCATCCTGTTTCTTGCTTCGTCCCGCATCCTCGCGACGCCCGCCTGTCCGGGACAGGCTGCGTGCGTCACCCAGGCGTGAGCCGAGAGGCTCCATGGAGGAGAACCCGGAACGGACGCCCTGCGCATGCCCCGCAGATGGGTCCCTGCGCGGGGCAAAGCTCGGCGGTTGACCTCCAGGTGCATGTAGTCCTGCCCCACTGTTATCCAATCTCTTTCATGCCATAGACCTAAAATGATCATTACTGGTCATAGGGCTCTAATCCAAACAACCAAGCCGCGAGCCCGCACTGAGAGCCGCGCCGGCCAGCAGCTGACATGTTGCAATAGGAACGGCGCATGTGTCGTCAGCGTCCTGGTATGGCAGCCGACATGACCTT